GGAGGGAAAAGTCCTCAAGAGAGTGCACCTTCCCTTCTGACGCCAGTTGCAAGTTCAGGGGATTCCCAAAAGCACTATCCGATTTGGTGCAATGCTAGAGGGACTCACATAACGTACTGAAAGCTGCTACGCTCCGGGTTATGGTTTATTATAGGGAAAGGATGCAGATTTTTTTTTTTTTTTTTTTTTGAGACGGAGTCTCGCGCTGTGTCACCCAGGCTGGAGTACAGTGGCGCGATCTCGGCTCACTGCAAGCTCCGCCTCCCAGGTTCACGCCATTCTCCTGCCTCAGCCTCCGAGTAGCTGGGACTACAGGCGCCCGCCACCACGCCCGCTAGTTTTTTTGTATTTTTAGTAGAGACGGGGTTTCACCATGTTAGCCAGGATGGTCTCGATCTCCTGACCTCGTGATCCACCCGCCTCGGCCTCCCAAAGTGCTGGGATTACAGGCTTGAGCCACCGCGCCCGGCAGGATGCAGATTTTAAAAGGCAAGAGAAGATGCACATAGGGTGGAGTCTGGAAAAGGTACCAAATGCGGAGCTTCTGTTGCCCACTCTGCGTGGAGTCAGGACATATTATTTCCCAGCAGTGATGTGTGACAGTGTTCTCAGAGCATTTTCGACCAGGAAATGTACCCGAGCCTTTGTGTTCAGCATTTTTACCGTGGCTCCATTACATAGGCATGATCCACTGCCCACAGGGCAGATCTCAGTCTCCAGTCCAACTTCCTAATCGATCAAGCTCCTAGTGGCTCAAAGGCCCCACCCCAAGTCACATAGTTGGTGTGACTCGAAGTCCCAGATAAACAAAATCACTCCTATCAGGCAGGACTTCCCAGGAGCTCAGAGATTACATCCCAGAAGCTGAGGGCCAAGGCCAGACTTCTTTTTGGATAAAGTGAAATTCTCTGCTATACAGCATGAATACAAAATAAACACAAATAAGATTTGGAACACCCTTAGACTCACTATTAACATCTATCATCTACCTCTTAAATACTCTTACCAGAACACATCAAGACTCAGTCAGTGAAAATTATCCTAAGATCCCAAGAAGAATTGACTGATCAGCAAAAGACTTTAAAACAGGTCAAAATGAAATTAGCATAGAATGAGATAAAATAAAATATCAGGAGGCTACAGCCACAGGCCAGAAAAGATTGAAATAAAGAACAGCTGGAGGAAAAGATAAGGCAAAGTAAATTATGCATCTTGCAGAAAGGGTAGGTCTCTCAGGACTGCAAAAGCTCTCTAGGATCCAACTTTCCAAGGCACTCCCCCTACCTTGGGAGCTGTAAGGTAACATTTATTGAAAGAAGCATTTTGACAGTCTCTTCAATCAGGAGTTAATAATGGATAATTGTGTGTGCAAAATCTCATACTGCTGCACACAGGCACAAGTGGCCCCAGGCTGCTACCAACCTTCCAGGTTCAGAAGATGAGGTAATAGATGAAGGATAGTAAGATGTCAGAAATACAGCTCTCCTTTAACAAGGAAGAAAGGAACATTTAAGAGGTCCTGGGAACTGCCTTTTTGGGATGGGGAAGGGGAACAGTTTTAAAGACTTGGAGTGAGAGGAAAAAGTGGATGTATCCCTAAGGATCTTATGTTCTTAAAGCTATTTATCACATGGCAGAGATCAACAATGCTCATTCTTGTCCATGGTTATTTTGCCCCCTTATGCTTTGAATTCTGATTTTGCAAAGCACGTGCTTTATGCCAGATACTTTCATTTAGTCCTCATGATTCAAAAGAGGTAGATATTATCTTCATTTCACAGATGTGGCCAGGTCATTTGCCACAGGATATGCAGTTAGCAAGATAGAGACTCAGGGCTGAAACTGGGCAATCTGATGTCACAGTGATACCTGGAGGTTTCATGATACCTGGAGGTTTGGAAGAACAGTTCACATCTCAGCTTTCCATGGCATAGCTGTTTGCTAGCGTCACTTGAATAGAACCAACCCAACTGAGACCCAGAAAGTGGGCAAAATAATGTGTCCCCAGTTCCATGTACGAAGTTTACATGCTTCATTAGATAGCCCTTCATTCAGAACCTGTTGACGTTAGTATATGCATAAATCTAATAAATTTGATAGACTTATTTGACAAAGGTGGACTAGAAATAGCAACTTAGAAAAGAAGATGGAACAGTACAAGTGATAGCTGTGAGGGAGGAAGTGGACCATTGTCACAGCATGTCACCAAGTGTTTAAGGGCCTGCCAGGTGTGAGGGGAGCTCTGGGCCAGGGAGCCGTATGGATGCGACAGGGAGTGTGGTGCACTCAGAGGTACTTTCACGTACCTGATCTTTGATTCTCAAAGATTCTCCAATTCTTTGATTGGAGAGAATCAAAGAATCATACTCCCTGTGAGGAGTATGGGATAAGGATTACATTTTGTAGATGAGAAAAGTAAAATTTAGCATGGCTAGTGAACTTGCTCCTGGTCATACAAGCTGGTACATTGCAGTATGTGAGTAAAACATATGTCCTGTACCTTTCCCAACTATGGTCGTCCCTCGGTATCTGCCAGTGATTGGTTCCAGGACCTTCACAGGTACCAAAATCTGAGGATGCTCAAGTCCCTTATATAAAATGACATTGTATTTGTATATAACCTATGCACATTCTCCTGTATATTTTAAATAATCTCTAGATTACTTATAACACCTAATATAATGTAAGTGCTATGTAAATAGTTGTTATTCTGTATTTTTTAATGTTATATTATTATTGTTTTCTTATTTTTTGTTTTCTCCCCCAATATTTGATCCACGGTTGGTTGAATTCACAGATGTGGAATCCGTGGGTATCAAGGGCCGACCGCATGCGGTTTTTGTGGGGTGGAGAAGACAAATAGCAGTGAATTGTCCATAAGGAAGTGGCGGAAATGTAACAGGCAACCTGCTAAAAGAATATGTAGCTAAATTTAAAAACTGTTTTAAAGGGGGAAAAATAAAATGGATACAGCTAGTTTTCCAGAATAAGAAAGTTTTTGAGTGTACCTCTCATCGGTGGTTCTCCTGGTGTCGGTTATGGACTGGCGGTCTCAGCATTACCTGCAAACTTGTTAGAAATGCAAATTCTTGGGCCTCACCTCACACTTACTGCATCAGAAGCGCCGGGAGCCCGGCCCAGCCACCTGTGTTTCAGCAAGCCCTGATGCAGCCACACTACTGCTATACATGAATGCCAATCACTCAGAACCTTTACCCTACCTTGCCTTTTGCTCCAGCTGGTTTTGGCTCCCACCACCTCTCTGAAGCATAGCATCCTCTTCCTGGCTGGTGGGGAGGCTGGTGGCTGTGGAGGTGGTAGGCAGGGTGCTAGGTTTGGATTCTGGAGACTTGGGCTGACTGCTTTGTCACTTCCTGGCTGTGTGACTTTGGGCAAGTCAGTTGGCCTCTCTGTTTCCTCATCCATGAAGGAGAGTAATTACCTGTTTCACAGAGTTGTTGTGTACACTGAACTAAAACTAAGTGGGGGTAACAGTGACTCACAGTGGCACTTAGAGAGGTGTTCAGTAAATGTCTGTAAATCTCAGCTTGGCATCTGGAAAGCCCATGTCTAGCCCCTGAGGGACCCACATTGAAATGGAGGCTTGGGCAGTGAGACTGTAGTATTAGTCCCTCTTTTTCTACATGATAAGGCAAGAGGAGACAGCCTGGGAGAGGAAGGGGTTAAGGCTTGGCTAGATTAGGGATTGGCAAACCATGGCTGTGAGCGGAATCTGGCCTGTGCCTTTTTTTGTACAGCCCTCGAGCTAAGAATGGCTTTTACATTTTTTAATGGTTGAAAGAAAAATCAAAAGAAGAATGGTATTGTATGCCACATGAAAATTTTATGAAATTCAGATTTTAGTGTCCATAAATAAAGGTTTATTGGAACACAGCCATGCTCATTCATTTACATATCATCTGTGGCTGCCTTTGTCCTACAATAGCAGAGCCAAGTAGTTGCATCTGAGACCATATGGCCCATAAAACCTAAAATATTTACTATCTGGTCCTCTATAGAAAAAAGTCTCTGGACCCCTGGGTTAGATCAAGGATAGAGAGTAGAGACAAGAGATAATACAGAAGATGATAAATAGCAAACATTTTCTGAACTTTGCCAGGCACTGTGGTAAGCATTTTGCATGCATATATGTTCTTATTAACAACACTTATAAAACAGGCATATCATTATCTCCATTTTTCAGATGGGCAAACTGAGGCTTATAACTTGCTCAGGGTCATAGAACCCTTAGGTGGTAGACCCAGGATATGAATTGAGGCCCAGCTGCCTTTCCAGTCAGGTTCGTAACCACTGCAGTCGGCAGCCTCATGGTGCTATGTGCTATGTAGATCAAACTAGGAGAAGTTTAGGGTCTCTGAAATGCGTCAGGCAGTGGCTGGGAAGGCTGAAGGGAGACAAGGGTGCTTTGTGATGTGATGAACACTCAAGAAGGGTGATTAGATTTTGAAATGTTTATGTGGGTCATTTAATGGAAAGAAGAAAAGCAGGCAGGGAGAAAAAAAGTCTTTATCGCAGCAGATACCTCCTGGCTTAAGTCATGTTCTGTCCCTTAGCCCAGCACCAACCCTGGAAAAAGTGTTGATCCACTTCTCGCTCTCCTGGGCTTGTTAGTTGATTGGGAGTGGTCATTCTGAGCCCACAGCAGGCTCGAGGAAGGGGAATGAGAGGCAGTGAGGAGGGACTGGACAGTAGAGAATTCTGTTGCCTTTTTGTCTGTAAAATAAGAATGTCAAGTGACAATTGTTTCTTCATCCCTGTGAATGTGAGCCTTGTGTTTTCAAAGGTCAGTGCCTGTGAGCACATCATGGTTTTGAGTGGGTTCCTATGGTAATCAGGCCATCGTGACTGAGGGCATTTTGTGTCAGACAACGGGGTGCTGGATTTTCAACCTTCTATGCAGTTCATGCTTGTTTCCTGCAAATGTAACCATTTCTGTTTTTCCCCTTTTCTTGTTTCCATCCTTTCTGCACCACGTGTAGGTCTGGAGCCAGAGCCTTCTTCAGCAGGTATGGCTTCTCTTGCATTCTCACCTTTCTGGCCTTCTACTAAGGACCCCGGAGTTACAGGGGAACCAGGGAGTTATTCCCTGTGAGTGAGAGCTTTTTTTCCTCCCTATTTCTCAGATGAGTGGAGGCTTTCTTCCAGTGCTGATGCCAATGGAAATGCCCAGCCATCTTCACTTGCTGCCAAGGGCTACAGGAGTGTGCATCCCAATCTTCCTTCCGACAAGTCCCAGGTAGGCATGTGCCCAAGGGCAGGGTGGGGACTGGTGAGTGGTACCTGTTCTTGAGTCTCTTAACTTAGACTGGTGACTTCCTGCTTCCCCAACTGGATAATGGAGTGGGTTTCAAGCTTTCGGACAACTCCAGATAAGCTCTGCAAGGACCGAGCTAAGGGAAAGTTGGGGTCAAGGGAAGCAGAGGCACGGAATGAGGTTGGTCTGTACCTGGGTGTTGGAAATAGGCCTTGATGCCTATTTAGGTTTGTTATGTATGTAGAAGTGTTCTGAAAGAGGGAATTCATTTAGCCTTGGATACATAGGAAAAAGGTCTGAGAGTAAAAAAAAAAAAAAAAAATTCTTTAGAGTGTAATATTTGAGAGAAGAATGCATCTTGTGTTTATTCCAATTGTTTTCTGGAGATGGGGCTGTAAGAACTCCAGCAACAGTATCCTTACAGATTAAGATCAGGTAGCTGTGGCCAGGCTCTAAGTCCAGCAACCCAGGAACAGGCAAAATGACAGTACAGCCCAGCTGTATCCTACAAAAGAAAATCCCCCAAAGCTGTACAAATTGGAATAAGGATACTTTTGCTTAAGTCTTTCCCCCTAGGTGGCTTTCTTGATCTTTCTTCCTTCCCTCTCCTGTTGTTACTTTGTCATTTTGATAAAGGGAATAGACTATGTTTTAATTTAGGTGATCTGTGATGAACATTTTTGCATACAGGAGCCACATCTGTGGAATCGACTACTACTCCTTTCTCTCTCTCTCTCTGTCTCCCCCCTCTCTCTTTCTGTCTTCCTCTCTCTATTTTGGAGTCAGGGTCTCTATCTGTTGCCCAGGCCAGAGTGCAATGGTGTCATCGTAGCTCACTGAAGCCTCCGATGGCTGGCCTCAAGCCATTCTCCCACCTTGGCTTCCCAAAGTGTTGGGATTATAGGTGTGAGACACTACACCTAGCCTAGTCCTTTCTCTTAAAGGAAGCTGTGCTGCTCAAAAACTATTGCAGAAATGTGTTCCTTATGTGGTCCACTTCCCTGTGCCTTCCTTCTGTGAAGGTGTTCCCTGAACTCACAAGGGGTCTGCAAATTCTGCAGGTCCTTCCTAGTTCCCACCCCACTTCTCCAATGATCCTCTGGTTCCTGCTCCTGAGGATGTAAAATTGCATTTGCTGCTGAAATGAAGCAGAATCAGAGATGATGTTTTTCTCCCTCCCTACAGATGCTTATCTTCCCCAGCGTGGAATTGGTTGCTTAACTGTCTGCCTTGTATGCTGAGCAACAAACACATTTAGCCTTTCTGCCACCTGCCATCACTTGCCTCTCTAGGTACAGCCATGTTGCATCCTGGGTCACCGGTTAGAACCAAGAGCTGTAAATGAGCCTGGCTTTTTGAAGTCCTCATTAGACACAGGGACTGAGGAGGTCACTTGTCCGGTAAAGGACTTGCCATGGTTTTCCCATTCCTAAACCCTCTCACAGTGTATAAATGTGCTGCCTGTGGTAGACATACTACTTTTCAACCATCTCAAGAACGGATGCCATCAGCTCTATGCAGATTGAGAAACAGTGCTGATTAATTCAGAGCAAATGTGGAAGCATGTCCTCTTCTACTATCAGTGACTTAGTTCAAAGGGTAACTCAGTAATTCTTTTTGGCTTCTTAAGCAGCTCTTTTGAAAAGATAATTTTAAAAGCATGTGAAGTAAATAAAAATTCTTTTAAAATAGATTTATTTAACACAGCTTTATTGAGCATCTCCGTGGTGTTCAGATCACTGTGTAAAGCATTGCCCTCAAGAGGTTGATAAGGGTGAACACCCTATAATATCTTTTACAAAGTGTGTTTTCTTATCTGTCACTATCCAAGAATTTTCCTTTTATTGGGGTTCCCTTTAAGGGAACCTGGTAAATTGTTGATAAAGAGGTTTTTATCCTGCATATTCAATGTAAAATCAGCCATTCAAATTTCAGGGATCTTTAGGTCACGCATTACCTCTTAGATGTGTTTTCTAAATGGAAACGTGACTTCTTGTCTGTATAGTGATTGCCAAAGCTTTAAGTATGCAGTGGCTTAGACAAGGGAATTGGTAGTTTACAGAACTGTATAAACTATAAACATACCATGATTTTCCAGAAGCCTCATATTTTTACTGACCCACCTTCTAAAAAGATAAATAGAATTTCATTTGTAGCCAACTGGGCAGAATGCAGACTGCCTGTGTGGTTCCTACAATGTTTACAACAAAAAGTAGTTCCCTGCATGTAAAGTCACTGTGCCTATCCCCTTTCTTCTTCAGGACTAAAAGAAGCCCCAGGGCAGGAGACCTTTGGATCTGAGTGCACTGTTGATGCTCTGGGGAAGCGTCCTCTCTACAGGGTCAAAACCCTGGGAAGGCTCATGCCTGATGTAATGCATCCCTGGCACCATATATGGTGAGAGCCGAAATAAGTTAGAAACTCACTGAAGCTGATTTCTATCTTTGGACAAGAAGAAATCACATATGGGACATTTGAGCTGAAAGTAAAAGTAAATCTGAGCTCAAATCAAAATGGTCTTTTGCTTACCTCCCTACTGCCATTATCAGCATACCCGCCAGTCCCTTTGGTGCGTGCTAGCCCAAGTGTTTTGTTTCTAGAATCGTTTAGTCTGTAAACGTGTTCACTGAAACCAAGTGAGTTCTCCTGAAAGTTTTTGCTGTTGCTTACTACTGGAGAGGGGCTATTCATTTTGTTTTTTTGTCTGGTACATATTCACTAGCACTGCCATGGGTGCCCTGTGGAAAGGATAGGCATTGGATTAGCCAAGGGTATCCAAGTGAGCTGCTTCTCCAGTGAGCTTATTTGTACCTTGAAAACTGAGTTTAAGGAACAGGTTATTTACTGTTTCTGGGTTGATGGTCTAATCCGCACTC